AAATAATATAAAAAATATTTATATAACATGCAAGTTGCATTATATCTGGCATGTGTTTAGACAGTTTGTAGAGCCATGCAGATAGCTAGATGTAAAGAAGAGAACTTTTTGCTTAGAATTTTTTACTCGGTTATTTTTATGTTTTGTAATGACAAAATCTGGTGCTTTCTGGAATCGTAGTTTGTTAATCATGTCAGGATCAGATAGGAGAAGCTGTTAGAAGAAGCCAGATGGCCAACTCTGTCTTTCAAAGGCAGGATTGTTTTTAGAAGATGATTGGAGAAGAACCAAGAGTCTTTAAACTATTTAAATAAGTAATATATATCACAGGAAATTCTTGGGAGAGTGTCTAGGATTGCCATACAGCAGGATTTATGTCTGAGACTACACCTTTCTAACTCTGGAAAGGAGCCAAAAGAACCTTGGTCCAAGCACATCCAGGTAGACAATATTTAAAGGGATTGTAAAGGACAGAATCAACAACAGATTCTCATTAACTTATTTGTTGAATGTTTGATGAAATAAATAGAGAACAATAAATCGGCCCAATATTTTGTAGTTCAGCATGATCCCGCACTTTCAAGGCCAGGTAGATTTTGTTGGGTGGATAATTTTGATAGATGGACCAATGGATTTTTCCTGGTATGGCTGCTTGTTAATTACTGAAATAAAAAGAATATTTTGAACACAGACCGTATTATGGAGAAGAGTATACATTAAGGAAATGGCAGATTATCTACTACCAAACAAAAGAAAAATCGAGTATTATGAAAAGATTGTGCAAAATTAGAGTCTTTCCTATGAAATATATAATAAGACATAGATCCAGCCTTGCATAAAAGATTGGAAAGTAGTAGAATTTGTCATGAGAGTGAGTGATAAATTGACATCAATACATGAATTTCCCTATCATTCAAGAATATTTTCATTTAGTAATGCTGCTCTGGTTCATTTTAAACATACCGCTCCAAATCACACTTCCATTACTTGTGCCCTGGTTTCTGCAAATATTTATGCTAGTATCTGTACACTCTTGAGCTTGAGTTTGCAGAGTTTATTCATTAATGTCAAGTTAAGCAGCTTTTGTAACCTGTACAGAAATACGTTCTGGTGCTCTCTAAAAACATATGTTAAAGATATGAAGTAAGGATTCTGTTATGAGCCAAATGTTATATATAGGCATATAAATAATTCATGGGTTTATATGTATGTGTATAAAATGCACAGTGTTTATAGCTAATAAATTTTACTTTTTTCGCTATATTTTATGGGTAATTTGGTAACAGAATTAAGTAAACTATTATAAGTACTGTAGATACATTTATGTACATGATGGTTTATCTATCATAGATAATGAAATATTTATAATACATTTAATTTGTGATGGGCAATCATAGGTTGTATCATAGTCTACATCATTATTATGAATAAGCAAACATTCAAAACCTGCTTTCAGTGCCAGTGTTTGGGGATCTTTTCTTCAACCATTGAAGGAGTTGTTTTGTACTGTGTATGTTGCTGAGATACTTTGGAATAGATACTGTAATAGGAGCATATACCCTGAAAGTCAACATCTATGGCTTTTGCTTTTTCCCTTTATTGGTCTTGGATACAGTAGTCATGTCTATATAGAGGTGATGATCCTCAGTTTTGCATTGTTCAGTTTGTAAAATTTTTATCACTGGATCCGTGCTTCCGGTTACTTTGATCAAACAATTAGCAATAATAGCATGTCTGTGATCTTAGGCTTTCAGAGTGCTCTAGAATCCTTGATATCCTTCCAGAGAGAGGATTAATTTGCTATCTTGTGATATTAAAATATACAATGATGTTTAAATTACATTACAAAGATCTCTTGAGCCACTACACTGTAATACTGGGTGAATGACATCAAGCTTAGCTATTTTATAACTGAAACCACTCCCACTGTGTTACATAAAACCTTATGAAATCAACCTAAAATTAAGAAAATCAGAAAGTCTTTTGAGTAGTAGTAGTATCTTGTGGAGTAAATAGAATGTAAGGATGAGTTTGAGATCATCTTATTTCTATCGTGGACTCTAAAGATTCATCCACTCCCTGTTCAAAAATGTAAATGCTCTGCAGGCATATCTCATAGGTTTTTTGACTTTGTATATACTTGTTATAGAAGATAGAATCACAAAGCTCAAAAGTGATTGTGAATAGGAATTTTCTAAAATGGCAGAAATGAAGGTATTTGAGCATTCTTTTCCATCCTGTTATCTTTTCTGATGTCTACACAAAGGGCTGTTTTCACTTCTATAGGCCAGATTGATAATAACTAAGATCTCTGTTTATAAAGTGCTCCGATACCATTGTTCTTGCACCTTTTTGGTTTATTTCCCTAGATTTATCAGATTATTTTTCTCAAGTATCTTAAGTTTTGCTTTGGTGGAGCAAAGAGAAAGAGAGAACAAGGACATAGACTCAAGAGTGTTACCGTTCCTGAGTCCAGTAGGAATTACGTGGAAAGCTTAGATGGTCCCCAGCCTGTGTTCATTACTTGCAGAGCTTTGGTGAGACCTTTCATTACCAATGGAAAGTCCTTTATTTTATCAGAGTGCTTTATAACACATGCTATTTCTTTTCTGAAACATTGCAGTCCTCAGTATCAGGTTCTCACACTAAGTTTGTATAATGTGTCAATTTTGTTTAACGCTTGACAGAAATAATAGAACTGAAGCAGAAGGAAAGAAAGAAACATATTTTCAGTCAGAGAGGTGGTGATGTAATGCAGCTAGTAAGTGAATGACTGCTTCGTAGTCATTTTCTTGCCTTTTTACTACTGTAACTATTTCATTATGGCAGAAATTCCAGCATTAGAGCAGAAGAGGCGTATTTTTCTATTTATTACAAGGATTTTGACTTTCTGCCACTCTGTAGAGAAAGTGTGCTCTAATTTTCAAGTTCAGTGAAATTTAAAAATTTAGAGCTGATTCTTCAATATAATCCATGCAGGGGTACATATGCCTATGGAGAGGGTCACCAAAAGTAATAAAGATTTTTAAAAGCTGTGCCTATGGCTGTCTGTTACAGGACCACAGTTTAGAGACCAAATCTGTGGAAATGTTCCCATCATATACACTACTAGCTCAAGCTAATGTAAAATGCTAAACTTCTGACTGCTTGCTTTAACAAAGTTCTTATGTGCAATTTGGTCCAGACAGTGCAGAAAAATCAGATTGTATTTGAGTTATTTTCATCTTGAAATTATTAACATGTACTCCTCATACACACAAAGTACAACACTGAAATATTTCAAAACTATGTAGGATAGTTTCCAGCTTCTGTTATTAGCAAATATATATGCTTGCAGTAAGGTAAACTGGAATGAAAGGGGCAACTACGTTATTTCTTATGCCAGTTGATGTTTTAAAGGCAGATTTCAGCTGACGTGGTGTGTGTGTAGTTAAATCACAGTAAATTAGTTGGGATTAGTAATCAAATATCATACTTGTTTTTTCTGTATTTACCTGGTTATTGCATTAGTTGCTCTTTGCCGCCTTCTGAAATCGTTGGCTGTTGTTTGTTTCTTTGTTTTTCTAAAATGCTTATTGTAGTATTTCAAAGAATTGAATAGAATAGGGTTAAAATGAGAACATAAAATGTGTAGTTAAAGGAGATTTTTTGCTCTTTTTTTATCTGCAGATGAAAAGTGTAGAAAATTGGAGATCTCCAAAACACAGTGTAGAACATTCACTTCTGAAATAATGTTCCTTTGGCAAGGTGCATGGAAAAGATTTGAGAAAAAAAAACCATAAGTGCTGGCAAAATTTGTAGGAATGTTGGAAAAATATTTAAAATGTTGGCATAAGATTTCTTTAAAAATCCTCACTTATTCACATGTGAAATGAAAGTTAAAAAGCATCTGTCCTTTTTTATGCGCACTGACTGATAAAACTGAATAATTATATTTAGCAAAGTACAAAGTTTTTTAAACTGAGTTCTGTCTGCATTTGGCTTTCTTTGTTATTTATTCCACTACACTAAAATATTGTGGTTGAATATGGACATATTTTGGAAAGAAAACAGCAACCTCCAACCAAAACAGTGAATATAAAAGAAGAAAATACTACAGTTTTCAAAGAAGATGGACTTTCTAACATGAAATTTTTAAGACTAAATATTAATACAATAAAATTATCTTTGATACATGCAAATCAGGTAAATTTGAAGATCCTGCAAAACCTTTACCAGATTAACTGTTATATTCACTCAAATGGAAGAAAAGCACGTTAAGATCCTAATCCAATAAACATATAGTCATCTGGACATTTAAATGTGTTTTACTTTTATATATCAAGCTGATCATATCTGTAAGGTTGTACTTAGCTGTTTGAAGGATGAGATGAGACGGGTCATTAAGAATTGCAAACTGAATTTCTTTTGTTTGCTTAATTCATTTATTTTTCATTGTGTGACCAAATGTAGCTGTTCTTCAGTGAAAACAAATAGGAATTGTAAAACAAAAATGAAAATCAGTCTTGTGTGGCTCAGAAATTATCACACTTTTAAAAACAATGATACATGAAATCCATTTTACAATCTAAAATAAACACTTTTGTTAATAACGATGAAAAATTATTTTAAGATCTTAATTCCCTCTATTTTTTCTTTTTACTATGGGTGTACCATCTTACTGTTTGTTTATTGCAGTCATATTTGTTTCACACCCAGTGCTGTTAAAAGTAAGAACTAGATACATGATATCATTACTGTGATTTACAGTCAGGAGAATTCCTAATTGATTTGGTCCTTTATGTTGAACAGTTCGGGCCGTGGTACTTGCCTTGATAATGAGCCTCCCAAGCGTGACTTTCTTTATCCAGCTGTGGCCCCAGGTCAGGTGTATGATGCTGATGAACAGTGTCGCTTCCAGTATGGAGCAACATCCCGCCAATGTAAATATGGGGTAAGAAGTCTTAATCCTTATGCTGAGTGTTCTGCTTAGTCATTTGTATATATTCCTTTGTAACATAAATCTTTAGTTAGATGCAGTAGTGGCCTACAGATTTCCAGTAGCATGTCTGGTGCCATCATACATAAGCAAAGGGTACATTTTAATCCTTATGCTGCATCTTTTTCTTGAGTCATTTGTGGGTTCTGTACACCAAAATATGTGGGTAAGAATGAGCTGGGAAAAGCATTCTTTAATTTTAGGGGAAAAAAGGAGCGTAGAACACTTGTTCCTTGCTCCTTGTAAAGTGCACTACAGAATTTTCCCTAATTTTGGTTATATAAAACCAGGTTCATGTTATATTAATCTTGAAACATGACATCTGTTCTGTTGGCTTTAGCTTTTCAATTTAAAGCTACAATTTAAAATTACATTGTCCTTGTATTTATTTGTCAGGTCTGGTTTTCTTCCCTCCTGCCCTCCCCAACATCGAGTTTGTTGTTTCTCACATTGTTCAGATCTCTTTTTGGAAAGATGACTTACAGTTTTGTTAAGAGGGGAACATGAAGCTACATAGCTAAGTAGAATACTGAATAGCTAAATACTAGCAAAGCTTTGGCTGCAAGTACCGGTGTATAATAATTAAAGTAAATAAATTCAAAATAGAAATAAAAACCTGTACACTTAGGCCACCATGCAATAAATTTATGAATATTTACCTAAAATCTTGCAGCCCAAAGTATGTAGCCGAAGGGTGCTTTCTGTTGTGCTTGTTATCAAATAATCAGCTGAGACTAAATTAAATATACCTTGAAAATGTATATAGTGGTTTAAAAGTAAATAGTTTTAATAATATTTTAATTTTTAGATTATTCAAATAAAACAATGTAATCACTGAATGTATACTCTGTTTACCTCTCTAAAGGCTAGCTGCAGAGAAAGTCCATTTTTAATATCCCTGGTGGGATAAATACAATATTATTCTTGGGATGCCTCTTTGGCAGATCACATTGTGCAAAGGATTTAAAAGCTCTATGTAGCTGGCTGACTAGCTCACTGGGTCTTCTGCTGCTGATCCCTCATCAAACCTATTTTGGCCTTTATTGTTCCTCTTTAAGTTCTCACTTCCCACCACTGTTATTGAAGGTCCCCATTTCCTGTCACTATATATAAGTGTGTAGTCATATACACTTATATAAGTGTGTAAGTTTTGTGTTTTTTTTTTTTTTTTCCTTACAAATTGTTACCACACACACTCCTTTAATTTCAGACTAAGGAAATCTACAGGTGTTTAATCCATGATTTATAGCACAGCCTTTGGAGATATATTGCATTTTAAATTAAACTGGAAAGTTAATGATGTGCAAAACCTGGCTTTTCCACATGTATTTTTTTCTTTTTCCAAACTATTAAACTATGTAATCATTGCTGTGATGATCACGCTGCATGGTACACTTTCTTTCTTAAAGCAGTTTCTAAACCACAGATAATCGAAAGTAGTGAAGATGTGTAGGTAATCTTGGCTTTCTGCCTTCTCCTTTTGCTTTTAAAGTTTTTGGTTTGATTCCTTGTAAAAAAGAGGTTGACACTTAATTGAAGCAGTAGTTAAAAGAAGTTATGTCTTCATGTGACTTTACCAGTCCTCTGAACTGATGTAGTGCATTGTGTTCCATCAGTGTGCCATCAAGGTGAGCATAAGTGTCAGAGAAGCATAAGTGTTTCAGAAAAAAAACCCCTATTTTTAATAATAGGGTTCAGACTGTATATATTATAATTATAATATAACAGGTTATTGTAGAAGTCTAGTAAAATCCACTCTAAGAAAAGATTAGCATTCAAAATAGCATATACATTTAAGAATATTATCCGCCATGGCCATAATGCTCTGAAAATGTGATCATGATTATTATGATCGTAAGATTTTGAGTGATAATTTTGAAAGGTGACAAGTCTTTGGATGCGCAGATGGAAAATATTCACACAAGAAAGACATATTCATTTATGAAAGGGTTTCTAGAACTGAGGAGTGGAATTAGATCTAAATACCAGAAAGAGCTAAGTTGAATACTCCGCTCAACTCGTTCGTTATCAAAAGTAAACAGTCAGCGCTTTGGATGTTTGGTGTATTATTCCCATGAATATGCCATTAACATTTCATTGATTTTATTCTAACAGATGTGTGCAACTCTGGACAGAAAAGCTTAGTGCAAACCCTTGAACTGTGGACAGAAAAGCTTAGTGCAAACCCTAAAACAGTAGACCTAGTTTATACATTATTTCTTTGTAGCACTTCTTTTAGCTGTTTTTATTTGAAGTGCCTAGTAAAAAGGGGGTAGAGCCGGTTTTCCAACATGGAGTTCAGTGACCCAGAAACAAATACATTCTAAACAAATTGGAAATCTCGAAGAAAATGGCTTGCCATTTTCTCTTGCTCATGTTCTTTACTGAATTGTAGTAGGAAGACACGACAAGCGAAACAGTCAGACTAAGTCACATCAAATTGCTGACAAATTACAAGTCTTTGGGGTCTGATGCATCTGTCAAGATAGTTGGTATTTTTTAAGGAATTTGGAAAATCTTTGTGTTATTTCTGCTTTGGAATCATGTATAATGTCTTACTAACATTTAGGAAAAATACCTTCTTCAACTTTTTAGTTTTAATGTAATCTGTGTTCATTGCCTTTTCTTCCGTATTACCTCATCCCTTCCCTTTGTATGTTTATTTTAAACTGTTTATTGCTTTTGATCATAGATCACATTCTAATGCTGCAAAGAATGTTGCATGTTTAAGTGCCTGAAGCCTTTCTTACTTACGGATTTGAAGTTAAATACGTGGAGAGGTGTTTGAACAGCTAAGGCATCAGAACTAAAGTACAAAAGGGGCTGCAAGTTTCTGCCTTTCTGTGTGTGGGTTTACTGACAAGAAGACAGTTTGACCTTAAAAGGAGTTCTTTGGTAGTTGTTTTGATACTATTTTAAGTACTAGACCTAATTAAACTGTTTAGTCACTTATGGACAGAACTGTTTCAGCAAAAGCCTTGTGGCTATTGGTCAGATTTCCCTGTATTGTTCAGCACATTGTCAGACAAGAATTCAGAGAGCTGCTTTAGCTCTTCGAGCTTAAATAAACCCTACAGATTAGTAAGTAGACAGTGATCCTTCTGTGTTACATATGCATTGTTCTTCTTCCTGTGAAGAAATAGATACTTTGAATAAAGTGAAGAAATAGATACTTTGAATAAAGAATTAAGAGGCGATGTCTCAAGCTACTTAAAGTACTTCAGTTTTAGGGTACACTTTCAGATTCAGGAGAATGTTAAGTTTATGACTTACATTGAGCCAAATTGTAATGGTAGAAATAATACTGCTGCATAGCTTTTCCCTAAAGGCGGTAGATGCTTTCAGGTATCTTACTGGATTCAGTGCAGTGGAAGATCTTGAGGTTACTAGGAGCAAGGTAGTTCCTGTTCATTTGTGTAGTTCCTGTATATGCTACATCTTCTATGGTGATGCAGTGTGAATTCTCTTCTGCTGATTGTCAAGCGTGTCTCAGTTCTTTGCTCTGTTTGTATGCCAGTTCATAACCTTTTTCAGTCCTTTTGTTAGGTGAGTGTAGGGAGAACTTTTTTTATTGACTCCATATCTCCTTAACCTTTGAGCATCTGCCTAATTACAGTTGGCTGTCTCTGGGTAAACTCAGGAAAGAATTCCACTTTTGACTTTGAATTTCTCTGTTTTATGACTTTAAATAATACCTGGAATATGCCTGACTGTAACTTACAGATTTTGTGGTTCAAAATAATGCTTTGCCTTAGAGCTGGTCTCTACATTTTTAGGACAGAGGCTAAAACCTCAGGCATTTTAATAGCAGTTAATACTTTATGCATATGGTTGATATTGCTGTGGTGCATTTTATGATCTGTGAAGCTGTTGGCTGCTAGCATGGGTCTCAGAGATAGTGTCTTATAATTTTTTTTGTATATTTTTTTTCATTTAGTGCTTTTCCACCATCATTGGTGCAGTAAATATTTTGAGTAGGAGGATAGGGGGACAGACTCTCCTTTCCTTCGCATACATGGCTTCATTGAAAACAGCAAGACCATTCTTTTTATTTCACACTAGAGTTTAACACATCGGGTAATGTATTTTAGCTGATGACAGGTAGCTCTTTTCTTTGTCATGGTCTTATGTTTGCAATTAAGTTCTCCAGTTAGTTTGCCAACAAAAATAGCTTTAAACTCAAATACCAGTTTTTATTCACATTTTGTTAGTGCATTTTGGAGGACAGAGAGAGTTCAGGCTATGAACTTACTGCTTGTAAATAGACAGAATGAAGATATATTGTCAGAATAAGGAGACCTCCTGCTGCCTTCCTGAGCTCCCTTGTGTTAGTAGTCTCTAGGAAGTTTTAATGAGTTATGGGGAGTGGCCATAAAGTTAACTACTATTAATGGAAGTTTGCTGGAAAGGCTTGACTACAGAAATATAGGACATATAGTTGTCATACCTTTACTGCTTCCTAGTTTCCTACATGTCAGTTTAGAGACAAAATAGTTTAATTGAATTCGTAATGACCAAAACAAAACATAATTTCAGATCCAGGAGAGTAAACAAATTACAATACTCAGTGGTTCTAAAATAGCCTGAATTACAGTTGATCCTTCTAGTAAGGTGATACAAACTTTAATGTTAGAGAATTAAACTGTCGCTTTTTTCATTACTGGTATGATTTACTCCAAATTACTAAAGAGAAGTATTAAATACGATGTAGGTGGAAGTAGGTTCCTGAAGCTGATTTTTCAGAAGGAAAGGCAGAGAAGCAACTGATGTATCATTGCACCACAAGTACCAGTTCCCTTTTATTCCCTCACTTGTTGATACTGTGACTGTGATTACGCATTCAGTTGAATTACACAGAGTAGTTAGTAACTCACTGAAATGTGGCTTTTTTTTCCCAACTTCATACGTCATACCAGGGCTAAGTCGCTTTATACTTGGTGTTTGTCAGCAGAGCA